GGGGGGGGAGGCGGCGGCTGCCGAGGCGGCGGCGGCGGCGGCGGTGGCGGCGGCGGACGGGGCGAGCGGAGAGCCGCGCGCGAGCAGAGGCAGCGCAGGCGGCGAGGCGGACGAGGAGGCGGACGAGGAGGCGGACGAGGAGCTGCTGAATGCCGAGCTGCGCGACGCCTTCGCGCGGGCCGGGGTGGCCGGCGACTCCGCCGCAGCCTCGACCCTGGCGAGCAAGCCGGGGATCGCGCCGCCCGTCACGCACCCCGCCCGGCGGGGGCTGTCTGCGCCGCAGATCATGCGGAGGGAGCTGACGGGCGCACCCGCCTCCGGGGCCGCCCCGGGCGCGGGGAGGGCGGCGGCGGCGCCGTCTCGCGGCCGCTTTGAGTGCCACGTGGTCAGCCTCGAGGGGAGCGGGCCGGGCCAGCTGCGCGAGCACACCGTGACTTGCCCGACTTGCCGCCAGTCCCTCCACGCCTTCTTGCCCGAAGGGCTCGTCTCGGCGCAGTGCAGCGAGTGCCAGGACGTATTCCCCGTGCGGGTGCACGGCCCCGCTGTGGAGCAGCCGGCGCCGGCGCCCGCGGCCCTCAGGTGCCGGTAGACCCCACCGCGCTTGTGCGCGCTGTGAGGCGCGACGGGAATCGTGTCGTGCACGAGGAACATACTGTACAGCAGGGCCACTGAGGCGCTCAGCAGGGCTCAGACATCAGAGCGCAGAGAGGCTGGCGGTATGCGATCGCGTTTGGACGCGATGATCGCGGTGTGTCTATGTAAACTTTTCTTCCAAAAGCGCCGTGCACACTGCGCGACAGTGTTACGGCTTTAGAGAGAAATCGATATACAATTTTCAATATTAGTTTTTAGTTAGTGGGCACAGCGGGCAGGGGCCAGGGGCACTGTGCCACTCTGTGCACACAGCCGCCGCCGCACGACGAGGCAGTGCACCCCCTGACCTAACACGTGTCGCTCGCTCAGGTAAAGACTTAAGTGGATGCACGAACAAGTAATCCTGTAATAGAGCGCCCGCATGCCGACATCAGACTCCCGCACAAGGGCGGGGACCTGTTCGGCCTTTTTACCCATCTCACAGTAGAGAGGTGTCCGTTTTTATTTATTTATTTATCAGACTCCCGCAGAACGGCGCAGCACAAACCCGCCCACGGCGCGTGCTGCCGCCGCCATGCCTGCGAGCAGGCCGAGGAGGACCGCGCGCTCGCGCCGTTTTGTCCGCCGGAGGCCGACGAAAGTGTTTCGCTCGTCTTGCAGGCCTCGCAGCATCGGTGGCGAGAAGACGCGCGGCAGGAGCTTGTTGAGCTGGATGTCGAGGAGGAGGGGCACGAGGAAGCGAGCGGTGCCGAGCGGCCCTCTCCCGTCGAAGCTGCGCGAGGTGCGCACGAGCGCTCGCGCCTGCTCGGCCCTCGCCTCGTCAAAGCTGGCCGCCGCCGCCGCCGGGTCATCGCCGCACTCGCCGAGGCACTTTGCAAGCACGCTCACGTCTTCGAGCGCCGAGTTCGCGCCCTACAGGGGCTCGAGCTCGTGAGAGGAGGGGAGAGGGCGGGCGGAGGGAGGAGGGAGGAGGGCGGAGGGCGTCTCGCCTGCCCGAAGTAGGGCTTGACCGCCTTGATTGCGTCGCCGAGCAGCACGACGCCGCCCTTGGGCAGCGACGCGTGGATCTGCCCCTCGACGAGCATGAACTTGGGCAGCCTCGCGACAGGCCGCTGGACGAAGCGGTCGAGGTCGTCGTCCCGCAGATAGGGCTCGAGGGGCGGCAGGGCGGAGGAGAGGAAGGCCCTCGCCTCCGCGCCGCTGCTCAGGCCCTCCATCGCCCCGTAGGCGGGCGAGCTCGGCTTGACGAGCAGCACGGCCACCATCTCGCCCTCCTTGGTCGGCAGCGCGTCCATCCCCAGGTCGAGAGTCCCGTTGCGGCAGCCCCAGTTGAGGTCGCGGCCGTGCCCGGCACCGCCGAAGGTGCACGGAAGCGTCTTGTACGCCGCTCGTTCTTGTCGGCGTACCGCACGGTCCGCGTGCTCGTGCTCTCGTCCGCCGACAGCGACTCGCGCACAGCAGAGCGCACGCCGTCGGCGCCGACGACGAGATCGAACGCCTCCGTCCGCCCGTCCGGATCGCACTCTTCCTCCGCCTCGTCCTCCACGCCGTCGGCCGCCGGCGGCGAGCACAGCTCGAGAAGCGGCCGCTCGCCACTCAGGTCGACGCCCGAGCAGCCGACCCCAAACTGGACGTCGACCTGCGGGTACCTCTCCCTCACCTCAGCCAGGAGGCACGCCTGCAGCCGGTCGCGCTGCAGCACGCGCGTCACGTACGTCTTCTCGGCGCCCGGCGTCCCTGGCGGCTTCAGGCGGCTCTCCACTGGCTTCCCCTCTGCATTGAAACTGAGCCGCCCGTTGACAGTGGCGGAGAAGCGCGAGACACGCTCCATCGCTCCAAACTCGCGCAGCGCTGCCTGCCCTCGCCCGTTGAGCCCCAGCTGATAGCTGCGCTCGCCGTCGCCCCAAAGCTGATCCTCGGGCAGCGGCGGCGCCGCACGCGCATCAAACACGGAGACGTCCGTCCAGCCGCGCTGCGCGAGCATGATGGCGGTGAGCAGGCCCGCTGGACCTGCGCCGACGACCGCCGCGGCCTGGTGCGAGGCTGCAGCGCGGATCGGAGAGCCAAAGCGCGCTGCTTGGTGCGAGGCGGAGCCGATGCGCATGCAATCTTCGTAAAAGAAAGAAATAGTTCAACCAGACAACAAGAAAGAAACAATAGTGCCCAGCCCTCTCCGCGCGGCGATGCGCCCTCCCCCCTCGCTTTTGCAAAATCCTGCAAAGGTGGGGACGTGTCTGTCCTCGACCCAGCCCTAGCTTGGGATGTCCTTTGTATTTATTTATTTATTTATAAACAATAGCGCCCTTGGGTTGTCTGTTTTCTTTCTTTCTTTCTTTAAACAATAGCGCTAGTGGAGGGATGGGGAGGACGGCACGCCGCCACCACACAGGGATTTTAAGGAGAGGAGTGTGATGCGCTAGCCGTCGCCCACCCTGGGGAGTCTGCCTCTTCCTATCTCTCTTCGCAGTCTCTCGCCGCTTCTCGCTGCAACCTTCATGCCACCTCGCGGTCGTCCCACTCTCGTCGTTCTCCTGAGAGAGAGATTTTTAGCAGTTTTGTGTTTGTTGTTTGTCGTTCTCTCCCTTGTCATTTCCTCCTCTGTCGCGTCGTTCTCTTCTGCCTCGTCCTGTGACGCCGCCGCCTGCCGGTCCCTTGTTCTCGCGGTTTCTTTCGCCTTTCGGCGCAACTCCGTCCTCCTCGCGGCGTATCCTGGCCCCGCTGCAAAGAAAGAAAGAAAGAAAACAGACACGCCAAACGAGGGATGGGACGAGGACAGGGTCCCCACCTGCACGAGCAGGATTTTGGAAGGACGATCAGGGGGACAGGTGGGGCTCTCCTGCTCCTGACAAGGGACACGACAGGCTCGCAGCGCGGTGCGCGGTGGACTCCCACATCCACTGGCGGTCTCATCTCAGTCTAGCGACCTGCCTCCAGCTTGTCGCTGGCAGTCTCTCCTACCACAGGCACACTGACACAGGGGTGGCAGGGGCGGCGGCACGAGTCTCCCACATACTATGCGGGCCTCACTAGAGGTGCGGCCTGTGCGTGTCCTCGCCCTTGAGGGGGGAGGGGAAGGGGCTGTGTGTCTGTGCATGTGTGTGTGTGTGTGCATGTGTGTGTGTGTGTGTGTGTGTGTGTGTGTGTGTGTGTGTGTGTGTGTGTGTGTGTGTGCGTGTGCGTGTGCGAGCCGCCCTGAACGCCACGAGCGCGCCGCGAGCGCCGTAGCGCCGGCGAGCGCCGTCGGCAGCGCGCGGACCGCCACCCAAAAGCGGAGGTACATCAGGAGCCGCAGCCGGCCTGCTCTATCAGCCCCGCAGCCGCGGTGGCGCGACCGGACCGCGGTCGCTCCAGGCGCCTTTTGGCCCCGGTTCGAATCGCGGTTGGCGCGCGCCCTCGCGGAGCGACGCGTGGCGCGCGACGCGCGCGCGTGCGCGTGCGCGCCCAGCCGAGCCCTAGGCCGTATGCCGTCTGCCGTCGGCCGTCGGCCGTCTGCCGTCGGCCGTCGGCCGTCGGCCGTCGGCCGTCGGCCGTCGGCCGCCGCCGCCGCCGTAGCGGCGGCGAGCGCTCGCCTTTTGCGCGACGCGCAGTGTGGACGCGCGCCGCCCAGCGCCGGACGTGCCGGAGCCGGTCCGGCGCGCGCGCGGGCGGCCAGCGCCTGTAAACAGACAGCTGCCGCCCACACGTTCAAAGGAGTCTTCCGCCTAAGCGCCAGCAATCTTCGTGTTGGGCGCCACTTTTTCTTTTTCCAACAAACGACTCCCACGCGGTCGAGCACACCCACAACCTACACACAAGCTCCGCCAGTCTTGATGGGCGACGGCCTCGCGCACTCCGCGTCTGGCGCGTTCGAGGGCTTCGAGATCTTCATCAAGTACCTGCCGCACAGCACCACTGAGCCGCAGCTCTCAGCCTTCTTTGGCGAGGCGGGCACCATTGTCGGTGCGCCGCGGCTCCTCAAGGACGGCAAGGGCGCGTGCAAGGGGTGCGGCTGGATCACGTTTGAGAAGCGGGAGGCGCTGGACGAGGCGCTCACGTGGAACGGCTGCGCCTTTGGCGGCCGCCACCTGCAGATCTCCAAGGGCAAGGCCGCCCACACGGGCTTCCGGCCGAGCCTGCAGGCAGCAGGGACGCACACGCCGGCGATGCTGCCCGAGATCGTCGCCCGGCTCGTCCAGCCGAGCCCCGACGGGGTGGTGGTGGACGCGACGTACGGCCGCGGCGGCCACACGCGCGGCATGATCGCCGCGCTCTCGGCCCGCGGCGTCTGCCACGCCTTCGACATGGATGCGGAGGCGGTGACGGACGGCAAGGCGCTCGCGGCAGAGGAGCGCCGCTTCACCATTCACCACGCCCCCTTCTCTCGGATGGCGGCGACGCTGCCTCACCTCGCCGAGACGCCTTCCGGCGGCGGCGGCGGCGTGGCAGCGATCCTCTTTGACCTCGGCATCTCGTCGCCGCAGTTCGACGAGGCGCACCGAGGCTTCCGGCCGGAGGCGGACGGGCCTCTCGACCTGCGCTTCGACCAGTCGCGCGGACAGACGGCCCACGAGTTCCTCTCCACCGCGCCGCGCGCAGAGATCACGCGTGTCCTCCGCAGCTTCGGCGAGACGTCCGACGGCGCCGCCGCGCAGCGCGTGGCCGACGCCATCGTTCTGGCGCGAGCCTGCGCCGCCGAGCCGCCAGACCCACACCCACACGGGCCGCTCTGAGGCGGTCCCTCGCCTGCTCGCAGGCGCGGCAGGACGGCGCGCTGCCCAGCCGCACCAAGGAGTTCGCCGCCCTCGTCGCGCGCGCCAAGGGCTGCGAGTACCAGGCGATGCACCCGGCCAAGCTCACCTCTATGATCTGATCTGATCTGATCTGATCCTGATCTTATCTTATCTTATAGGCGATGCACCCGGCCAAGCTCACCTTCCAGGCACCTCCGGAGAGAGAGCTGTCTCCGAGACCCTTGCGAGATCCTTCCGAGACGCTCCCGAGACGCTCCCGAGACGCTCCCGATGCGTCCTCGCGGCGCCTCCCCCGCCCCGGCAGCCACACTTTGCCGCTGCTCCCCGCCAGGCGCTGCGCGTGCACCTCAACGACGAGTTCGGAGAGTGCTCCCGCGGCCTCGAGGCTGCACGCTCCCTCCTCTCGCCCGGCGGCCGGATCGGAGTCATCACCTAGAAGCACTCGGAGTGCGCGCTGGTGGTCGACTTCTTCCGGAGGCCCAGAGGCTGCGCAGCCCGCACACCACGCGGCGGCCGAGAGCCAACCCCCTCCCCTCCCCGGCAGGCACGAGGCCGTGCGCGATGAGATGCCGCAGGCGCGCTGGTACCAGGCGCAGGTAACCGCCGGGCGCGCGCCGCCGCTGCAGCCGGGCGCGGCGCTCGTGATGGAGGCGACGGTGCGGCCGTCGGCAGCGGAGCTGCAAGCCAACTCGCGCTCTCGCTCGGCCGTGCTGCACATCATGAAGAGAGTGGAGGCGCCCACCGTCGCGGAGCTAGAGCGGCGGTTGTACCCGCTGCTGCAGTGGCCGCTGCCGGAGGGCGCAGGCGGGCACGGCGAGGGGGCTGGCGGCGCTCTCGGCGAGGCGTGCCCGGCGAAGAAGGGCCACAGGCCGAAGGGCGTGGCCAAGGGGGCGCGGGGCGGCGGCGCGGGCAGCGGCGGGGGCATCTCCAAGAAGGAGGAGAGGGAGCAGCGGAGGGCGCGCAAGGAGAAGAAGATGAAGAAGGCGGCCAAGAAGGCCAAAAAGGGTCTATCGTCATGATGACGGCGTGAGGGCGTGTGCGCTCGGCATGCTTTTGTTCTGTTTTGAGAATCGGCCATGTCGGCGTCAACTACTCTTTTTCGATAAAATAAAAATAATGCAAAATGAGCCGAGGTGCGCGTTGAGCGTTCGCTTACAAAGAACCCGGCACAAAGATCGCACGGGCGGGGACCTGTTCCTTTTTACCCATCTCACAGTAGAGAGGTGTCCGTTTTTATTTATTAATTATTTATTTATTTCGTTCGCGCTGCCCGGACGGCCCGCAGCCCGACGCGCAACCCGCAGCGCAGCAGTGCCGCGGCCGATTCTCCCAATCCCACACGGCATCGCCGCAACGCACTGAATTACTGCGGCGGTGTGACGCAGAACGTAGTATGCAGCAAAGGCCCAAAACGGATTCAAGTTTCAACGAGGGGAGCGGCCCGGCGGCAGGCGCCTCGGAGTGGTACGCGCCTCTCGGGCGCAAGGGCCGCGCCTCACTTGCCCAAGGAGAGCTTGCCCAGCGCATCGCACGCGTCGACGCAGCTGAAGGTCTGCCCTCCTGTCCACGACGCAGACGCGGGCACCGTGGCGGGCTTCGCGACGGCGCCAGCCTCGTAGCAGAGATAGTGCTGCCTACACTCGGCAAGTGCCGCAGGGTCGAGCCTCCCGCGGCGAGCCTCGCGCTCGCGCCTCGCCGTGCGGGCGGCAGGGTGGCGCGCCACTCCCCGGGGGCGAGGTCCTTGATGCCGCCCGCCGCCCGCTCGCCGATGTTCCACAGTACGGCGTCCGGGAACCCGAGCTTGAGCACCTGGCACTGGGCGAGGCACTCGTCAGCCGATGCCCGCCCACAGCCGGTGCGGCGTCCGGGAGGCCGAGCTGGAGCGCCTTGATGGCGCTCGCCCCGTCGACGATGTGCGCCTCGGCGGGGGCGTCCAGGTAGACGCGGTCCACCTGCGGGGACGGCGGCGGCGGCGGTGGCGGCGGCGGTTGTGGCGGCGATGGCGGCGGCGGCGGCCGCGGCTGCGGCGGTGGCGGCGGTGGTGGTGGCAGCGGCGGCGGCGTACGGCGGCACCTCGCCGGCGATGGAGAGCGGTCCCTCGGGCTGCGTCTCCACTGCGTTTGCGCGCGTGTTGTCCTCGTACCGGAGTCCGCCAAGCCCGTGCAGAGAGACGCCGCGCACGTCGGCGACGCGAAAGTAGGTGTGCAGCGCGGCGGTGAAGGAGAGGGGTTCGGTGCCAGTGTTGAGGACGGAGAGCGCCATCGAGATGGAGGAGGGGCCGTCGAGCGTGACCGAGTACTGCAGCTTGAAGGGCTGCGGGAAGAGGCGCCGCGTCTCGTCGTCGTCCACCAACTCGAGCACGACGCACGGGTATGGCTCCGTGGAGGTGCGCAGCACTCGCCACTTATCCGAGGTGCGCACGAAGCCGTGCTTCGGAAGAGCACCGCGCCCGGCGAACTGCGGCCAGCAGACGGGCACGCCGCCGCGGATGGCCTTGCCGCCGCCGTACTCGGCGGTGGAGGAGACAAAGAGGCGCTCGGCGCCGCCGCAGACCCAAGAGGCGAGGTGGGCGGCGTAGATGTAGATGAGCGCGGATGAGCCCGATGCGTGAGTGAGGAGCACCGCCGGCAGGCCGTTGCGGGAGGTCTGCTCGACCTTCATCGGCCGAAGAGTACCTAGGTAAGATTTACGTGCGAAGACAAGCAGCCCCGCGAAGAATTTTACACGCGTTTTCACTGCTTCTCTACTACATCTCTCCGACAATACATGGCACGACAAACAAGGGTGGACTGTTGCGCGCACATCACACAACCCCGCTCTCCCCTTCTCTCCCAGTGGCTAAAAGTACACAGAATTCCTATTGGGTGGGAAAAGAGAAGTTTCTTGCTGGTGTGCCGGACGGACCACTCGTACAAGGACGCCGACGCGTGCTCTGCTTTGTCTCTGCTTTGTCTATGAGCGCGCGCTCCTCGCGGCGGTATCGCGCGGGTTCGAGTGAACTCCTGTCAGCTCGCCGCACCGGCACCGAGCCCTCCATCAAGGTGGAGGCGGTCCCGGAGGAGGCCGCCGGCTCGAGCTGTGACGTCGTCGACGTCCGCGCACAGCACAAGTATAGCCAGCTGTACCGCAGCGGCAGCTACCGGCGTCCGGGCGCGGTGGCGCGGGCGCAGGCGCGCTGCGCTAGCTGCGTCGAGCTCCCGCTCGAGGAGGAGCTCTCGGAGGCCGAGAGCTCCAAGCTCGACGCACTCCGCGCGTCGGTGCTGTCTGCGCTGCAGCTGGAGGCGCTGCCGCCCGACTGGCGGAAGTCCTTCCTGATGCGGTACCGGCTGGTGACGTACCTGCGCGCCGATCGGGGAGACGTCAAGAAGGCCACGGCGCGCGTGGTCGCGTGCATCGACTTTTGCGGCGAGATGTGGACAAAGGCCTTTGCGTGGGAGGCGCAGCCCGAGGCGCTCAAGAACCTGTACGACGAGCACATGGCGTGGGGCGCGCACGGGTTCGACCGTCGGGGCTGCTCCGTCTTCTGCTACCGGCTGGGCAACGTCGACGTCGGCGGCCTCGTCCGCGAGGTGTCCCAGTCG